AAAATATGAATGAAAACAACTTTGTGGCTTTCGTCCTATGTGATCCCGGCTGATGACGCGTCCAGGGAGGTGTAGAGATTGGCGTCCGGATACATAAACTCACCGCAGTAGCAGTTACCACACTGCAGTAGCAGCTATAGTACTGTTTAAGAGCGGATCGTGCCAAGGCAACTGAATTTGTCTTTAACCCGATCTGGCCTTGTTTTCGCCGTGCTAAGCGGTTCATGCATCTTTCACACTCATAACAAGACTAAACTTGCTTACATCTGCGCTTTCTCTCTAACTTTCTCTCGTCAACCCCAGCCGCCACCACCCTAAAAACACGTTGAGTTCGCCCGTACGGCAGTTCGACTTGTTTTTTTCTTTACCCCGAGGGCATGATTTCCCCCATAACTATCCCTTCCCCCCCGCACCCCTTCTCCACCAAGTTCGACCCGCCTATGGAGCTGAATCATGTCGTAGTTAGCTCGATTATCGGCAAGTTTGGGCGACATTACAACCCTTTTGTTCGATTCCATCATCTCGTCATCCGGGCCCCGTCCGTCTGATACGGTAGGTATTGGCCCGCATCTCGTTGAACGAGGAACAGTTCAACCATGTGCTGGAGGAGATCCTTCAACTCTTCTCCGATCAAAGGTGTGTTACGTGTGTGTGGCGGAAGACACAGCGTATTCAATCGCTGTCAATAAACGCCTGTTCCCGTGTTTTTGGTTATTTTTAGCGTCGGTTAGCGTCGGCTAGCGTCGGTTAGCGCCAACTATTGTTTTCCGTTGCCAATCTCCCTAATTGTTTTAGCTCTACCTGCTGCAGTAGTCGTTCGCTGTTGTGCTGAGTGTGTGGATGTACTGTCGTTATGGTACATAGTGACGTCATGTCATGTTGGATGCAAACGCAGCACCTTGTCGTTTTTCGTCATCCGTGAGTTTGCACTCTCCGGCATCTACATCCCAGGTTCCAGGTGTTGATCCTAGGCAGAATTCCTTTGTTTCGTTGCCGTGCGAATAAATGAATACATACGTGGGCGGGGCGGTCGTCTGCGTCGTTAGTTTTGCGCTCGGGGAAGCCGCATGAGAAAGGGGCCGCATGCTGTGTATTCACGTGACACCGACATTTCAACCAATCACACACATCCCTGATCGTGTGTTGCGTTGCTGCCGTGCCTTGTTACTTCGTTGTAAAACAACCGTTATGTTACAAAAAAATATTTAGGCGTTTATTGGAAACCCGGGGCGGCCTCATCATCCGAAAGCTGTGCGTGCTTCTGCGGCCCAAAACTATCTACGTGGCCGTGGCGTCTGTCCTGCAGACCAACAGCGATTTGGAGTTCATCGGGGTCATGGTTGAGGTGTGTGTCGTTACGAGGGGGGGGTGCGGGCAGCAGAGGACGAGATACGTTGGTCTGGATACAAAGTGAACACCGGCAGGGGTGGGCAGTGTTAATGTTGTAGACGCGAAGGTGAACGCCTCTCAGGTCGGGAAAACTTTCGCATATCACATGCATGCATCGTGCAACTCCGCTAAGACGGGGATCGTCGTCAACAACGAGCGCCTACAGCAGTATTAGTAATCAACTAAGCTTCACATTTGCATTATTGCATCATTAAACTATTCGGTGAATGTTTTTGTCCCACTTCAGAGCAGGAACAAATTGTGGTCGGTCACCACCCATCGAGAGGCGTCGTCTGTCTTTTCAGGGGACCATCGAATTAACCAATCAAGCAGTTACAGAACCCCCTCCCCCCCC